AGGTATGATGGGAGGACCAGGTAGCCACCCAGCAGATGTCTAGGAGGGGCACATTTGAAGAAAGGTGGTAGATGTCGCCATTGCTTGTAGTGAATGAGCAATGATCCTCTAGGGTGCACTTATTGTGGAGCTTGTAACAGGTGGATAAAAGCAGATATCGATTTTGATATGCGCTGCATGGACATGGCTGCTCCTTTGGAAGGTAAAGTGGTAGATATAAAAAGTCTCAGACATTTGAAATCTGCATTCTATTTGGACAGTACAAAGCACAACTCAACTTACATCCAGGATGTGCAGGATTGAGTCCTTAATGGAGTTAGGAGGCTCTGGATAGAAAGTGGGTAAGTATATACTTCATTAATATGAAAGGAGGAAACTACCATCGGTCGAATTTTGGATGCAGACATAAGGTAATCGTATCTCTTGAGAAGATCCACCATGTAAGGTGGATCCCGCCATGAGGGCTGCAATCTATCCTACCCGTCTGGCTGACGTAATTGTGACTAAAATGCCACTTTCACAGTCTTATGGTGAAGAGCAGGTTGTTACAGGTTTGATGGGAGGCCTTATCAGGGTTTTCAGGACAAGTGGTAGGTCCCTTGGTGGTACTGGCAGACTTAGGTCAGGTGCATCTTGCATAGGCCAGAAAGAGTGCTTCGTAATAGTGTGAGCACACATGGAAGTACCACCCACTAAGTCACAAAAGACTGCAATGGCTGCTAGGTGAACCTACTATGGAGCTGATTGACAACCCAGCCTCACTAATGTCCATGAGATATTCGATAACAGCAAGGTAGAGTGGTTGCAGTAGGTTGTAATTGACACTACTACCACTCCTGGAATTGCCACCATTTACTCTGGAAAGTATCATGTAGAAGGGTGAGAGCTATTCAACAGGACCTGTTTTACCCTGTTGGACCCGGTAAGTTCTTCATGTCAGAACCATGGAATAAGTCTGAGCGCCCGGGGATTGCAGTGGCAGATTTGGGACAGAAGGTTGGGAATGATTGGGACAGGTATCGGTTTGTGGCTCAAAAGGTGCTGAAGGTAAGGGAAACATGGCTGCCTGGGCCAGCATGGGGCAATCAGGATTACTGTTGCAAGATCTGTGCACATCTTGTAAATTACCCTGGAAACTAGGGGAAATGGTGGGAAGGCATATAGAAGTGGAGCTGTCTAGGGTAGGACAAATGCACTCCCCTCCCCAGTGAACTCCTGACATCTCCAGCTCTGGAGCAGTGCTATGGGCACGTGTAGTTGGCTCTAGTAGTGGAGAGATTGTTGGAAATCCCCATTGATGAAATATGTGGAGGAGGATCATGGGGTTGAGCTCTCATTCATGTTCTGAAAAATGCCTGCTCAGGCTATCCACCATGCTGTTAGGATGGCTTGGCAGGTACCTTGTTAGTGTTACGTTGTTTGTTATGCACCAGGTCCAAAACTGTATTGCCTTGGCACGTAACAAGCATGACTCGCCTGTCGTTTGTTTTGTTTTGGTTTTTTTTCAACCATTTCAGGGAGCGATGTCCGTGAGAAGAAGAATGGTTTTGCTGTGAATTATCGGAAGCAAGTGGAGGCGAGTATTGTGAACCACTCTGAGCTTCAATATGTTGATTTTCAGGCACGTCTCGCACTGTGATCACCCTCCCTGGACTATACAGTGACCACAGTGAGCACCCCAGCCTGTGAGGGATGCAGCAGTGGTTAGCATGCAAGACGAGTCGTGCTGTTGGAAAGGTACTCCCGAGAAAATTGTGCAGGGATCTCCACTAGTGGAGAGAGGCAGCTTGCTTGCTCAGGCTGTGTTGATTCAGCATGTACACTGTTGCTAGCCATCCCTATAAGCAGCACATGTGGAGTCTTACAAACTGTCCCATGTATGTGGTGGCTGCCATATGCCCCAGAATTTGAAGGCATGCACAAGTGTTCGTGAAGAGAATGTGCAATGTTGCTCTGAAGAAATTGCACTGGTAGATGGGAAGGATGGCCTTGGCTCTGATGGAATTCAGCAATGGAAGGGTAGAACATGATACAGGTAATGACCCTCTACTACTGTGAATCTGAAGAACCTCCTGTGAGAAGGAAAGACAGTTGGAAGGATGTGGAAATAGGCATCTTGAAGGTAGAGAGCTGAGAACCAGTCCCCCTTGTGCAATGCTGGTATGATAGTCCCCAATGTCACCATCTTACATTTCTGATTGTAGATTAATGTGTTTAGTTTTCTGAGATTGAGGATGGGCCTCCAACCTCCTGTCTTCTTTTGTGTAAGGAAATAGTTTGAGAAGAATCCTCTCCCGTGAAACTGCAGAGGAACTGGTTCTATGGCCCCTAAGTTGAGAAGGTTTTTTTTTACCTCTGTTTGTAGCAGGTACTTGTGAGAGGGGTCCCTGAACAGGGATTGAGAAGAGGAAAGGGTAGGGAGCATAGACAGGAAGGGAATGCTACAGCCCGATCTCTCAATCTCGAGGACCCATTGGTTCATGGTAATAAGTGGTAAAAAGGCCATAGATGGTGACCAAAAAGATGGAATGACTGCATTGGCTCTAGGCGGGGAGGTTGCTCAGACCCTTGACCACACTTTCAAAATTGCAACTTTGAGGTTATAATCACAGAACACTGGAACTGGAAGGGACCTTGAGGTCATCAAGTCTGCCAGTACCATCTAGACTATCCCTGATGAACATCTATCTAACCTGCTCTTAAATATCTCCAGAGACGGAGATTCCACAACCTCCCTACGCAACATATTCCAGTGTTTAACCAGCTGACAGGAAGTTTTTCCTAATGTCCAACCTAAACCTCCACTACTGCAATTTAAACCCATTGCTTCTTGTCCTATCCTCAGAGGCCAAGGAGAACATTTTTTCCCTCCCTCCTCTTTGACACACACTTTTAGATAGCAATTTTCAGGTATCATGTCCCCTCTCAGTCTTCTCAAAGGACCTTTGCTGTTCTCTTTGCAAGAGGGTGTCTCATGGCCTCTGATATGGTGCATATTGTCTCCTTTTATTGAGGAGTATACATCCCCAATGTGTGAAGGGTTGTGTGGGAGTTCTTCATTGAATGGAGGACCCTGTCTGTTTTGGCTGAAAACAGATGGGTTTTATCAAACAAAGTCCTCTGGTTTGCAGCTCACGCAGAATCTCCAAAGACTAACTAGGTAGTAGGGCACATCACAACAGCTGTGGCTGTCGCCCTAGCAGCCGTATATGCCACGCCATGAAGGAGCAGCTTGAGTCGATACCATCATCTCCACCAGTGTTGAAGAGGAGACATCCAACTCTATCTTCAGTGCTGGGTGGGAGCCTGTACCCATCAGTGTGGAGGAGCTCAATGTATGCTTCGTCCCAGACTCCGCTCTCTTAGCCAGTGCCACTGCCCCACTTAGCGGTGCTGGAGGCCTATAGAACCGGGAATGAGTGGTGCGGGATGTTGTCAGCACCACAGGTAGTGACTGTACTTGTGAGTCCAGGGCAGAGAACATAGAATCATAGGACTGGAAGGGACCTCGAGAGGTCATCGAGTCCAGCCCCCCGCCCTCAAGGAGCTCTTTTCCTCAGAGTCGAGAGTTCTGCCGGCGCCAATTTCTTTGAACCTGGCAGTTGAAGGGACTCCATAATATATTCTTTAGTCTCATCTTATCTCAGTGCTAGCATTTCTACGCCACATGGCCTTCGCCCAGACACCTTATGTAGGAGACATGCTCATCTGAAATGGCCGTGGGGCCCCTGCAAGTGTCACATTTCTTGAATCCAGGGGAGACTGGAATTTTGAGGAGATTGGGGTGACGGGGAAAGAAAAAAACGGGTTTCTCAAAACGGGTTGGTCTAAGAAAAAAATCAAGGTGACTAAAAAGAACTGAAAATATTCAGAAAAAATTCTCTCGGGAAAAGTCACACTGCTAAGAATCTCCGTCTTCTACCGATGATGGTAGGAAAGGAACTGAGGGACTCATGCCACATGTGCAGGCAACTGTGCCTGTACAGTGTGTGAAGGCACTGCTAGGGTAAAAACCACGGATCGCCAGCATGAGGACTCACCAACACCTGAGGGGAGCACCCGCAGGGACACCACGTGAAGGAGAACAGCTGTTTAGGGTAAGAATCTGCTGGCAATAAGTTTTAGTGAATTAGAAGTGTTTTTTCATTTTATAGTACTTTATTTTGATCTGTTTACACTTGCAACCACTTAAATCCTGCTGTTTGTACTTCATAAACTCTTGTTTACTATCAAGCCCAGTGTAAATAATTGTTATCTTTAG